ATAGTATGATATATCTACTCCTTACATGTTAAGAAAGGTTTACTGAATGCACCAGGTACCAGTGGCTTGTGTCTGCAATCTTAGCGTCTCAGGAGGCTGAGACAGGACAAAATGAAAAACAAGGCTCTGAGTGGTCATGGAGAAGATTGTGGGTGATTAGGAGTTTTCCCAAAGAACAGAGTCCTTCTCTCCTTGGTTTAATGATTCTTTCCTACAACGAGGTCTCACTTTCTCTAATGAGATTTGAGAATTCTGATTTGAAGTCAGTCTACAGTCAAAACTAGGAAACTCTTATCTGCCCTTCACCAGCAAGAGGTGGGAAGTGAAGGTGTGGCCTGAGTGATAAGGCATCCGCCTAGAGCAAAAAATGCTAAGTGAGAGCATTTGTTTCTGAGTTCAAGCCCAAGTACCAGCACATTAGACTGTGGTCTGTATGCCCCCTGGGAAGCAGAAGAAGCTGACTGACATGGTTTTTCTCTTGTTGAGATTTACTGAATGCTGCTCATTACCCTTGCAATCTAAACATAAATTTCTTTCTGCCCTCATCTTAAATTTAATTAATTACGATGAGGCAGTCATAAAATTCCAGAATTGTTGTCTTTGTTAATATGATCTATCTGCCCATCTATATATTCTCATACTCATCCATCATTCATCCTTTTTTCGCCCTTTCTTCCAACCACCTAATGGCCTTTCCATTTAATAATGCTGATTTCAAGAAGAGAAGCTAATGGAAAAACCAGCATCCTTGGCTGAGGTAATTCATAGGGTTATGATTTGTTGCTAAAATATTCAGTTTTGTTTATGAAACCCCACAGATCCCAATTGCTGTCCAGGAGGTAGTTTAGTAACTCTTTCTAATAAGCTGAAAGCAAAGAAATCTCACTGTGGGTAAAATATCATGATTTAACAAAGGACAGTTGTATAACTATCTCCTTTCTTCTGTCAGTTGATTCATAGAAATGGTATTATATATAATATATGCATTATATATGCACATTAATGAATATACCATATATAATGAGGGTACATGTTTGACCTAAGAATTACTTTATTTCTTGTGGTTATATATAATATATGCATTATATATGCACAATGTTAATGAATACACCATATATAATGAGGGTACATGTCTGGTCTAAGAAGTCCTTTATTTCTTGTGGCATCAAAAACTACCACTTGTTATTGCAGGTTCACATTGACTTAATATTTCTCTGGAATACTCTGACTTAGTACTTTCTTTGTGGGAGAAACAGCAATATCAGCACACCTTTCACCTACTTTAACTCCAGGGCCTGTAGGGTTCATGTCCACAAGGTCTGTTTTTAGCTATGTAATGGATTCCTGCAGCTAAGAACATTCAGATGTTGTTCAAGAAATGTCTAATAAATAGTTGGTTAGTTCCCCCCCCCACCTTTTCATACTTAAACTTTAAAGTACTAGGTCACAAATATCCAATGTTGAGGTAAAGTACTCTGTTCAGTAAGAACAATCTAATTTAAGGTTCTTGAACTGTTTCATATGGTCTAAATTAAATGTTGCATATGTATTTCATTTTTTAAATAATGTTTCATTTTCTACACTATGTTGGTTAATGTCACTTAAGTTTTTCATAGCAAAGCCAAATTTACTTCTGCAGAAGTGTGTGATGAGTCAAGAATCCCTGAACTTTTTACTCAAGACTAGTGCTCTACCACTTGAGCCACAGCTCCAATTCTGTTTTTGTTTTTTTTTAACGTAGTTAATTGGAGATAAGAGTGTCTTGGACTTTTCTGCCTGGGATGGCTTTGAACCACGATCCTCAGATCTCAGCCTCCTGAGTAGCTAGGATTACAGTCATGAGCCACCAGTGCCTGGTTATGCATTATATGTTAAATATAATCTCTGGAAGGTGTTCAGTTTATTTGGCTAACTGAATTGGAAAGTGGTAATGATCGAGTATGCAAAATTTTGAGGCCAAATTGCTGGCACTCATCATATCTTGCTGAGTGACATTGAGTGCATTTTTTTAAAAACTCATGGTGGCCAAATTTTCCCCTGTGTAATTAGGGGATGGTCCCAGCAGCTCCCTCATAACTTCCTGATAAATCACAGCTACTATAATTTTTATTATTCAGGTCCTGTCTAGATCCAGATCTTTCAGAAACTGTAGCCTTACCCCTGAACCAGAGAACTGTCATTTTCATCAGGACTGCAAGCTCTTCCCATTCTACCAGGATCTACATCAATCGGCCTGACACAGGGTGCAACCTAGACGGAAGACTGGGGTCCATGTGTCCTCCAGGTATTACATGATGACAACTAACGTGATTCCTCTAGTCAAAGTCCGGTGAGTCTTTTCTCATTCCATAGCTTGTTTCTGGGACCCCCCTCAAAAAGAAGGCCTTCTTTCAAGAGGTGGATAATTTCACATCTTGGCAGATTGCAAAGAAGGAAAATTAACCAAGTATTCAGATCATCTTTACTGGAAAGATAAGTGTGTATTCTGTGCAGTATCCAAGTACTAATTAACTTACTAAATCTGTTAAGATTATCCTTCACATTATAGATGTGCAATTTGGTATATATTTATGCTTTTGGCTGAACTTCATTCATCCTTAAAGGGAAGGAATATAAAGTCCTGTGTTAGCCACAGTGGAATCACGCACTGTCTTCAACAGTTGTTTCAAGAGGAGCTTACAAATAAAATGTACAGCAACTATATACTCTTAGGACCTTTCATAATGACAATAATTTTCTTGTGTTTTTCTTTCAATGGGGCCAATTAAACTATGTGCACTCACTATCTGAATTGTATATGAACTGACATATAAATTGGGATAAGAAAACAAAAGTATGTGGCATAGGTACAGTAAAGAACAGCTTATTGTCCAAAGCTGGGCAGCAGTGGATAACTTCTTAATTTACTACATTTGCAGCTCCAAGCTGTGTATTTATCATACAGAGTGCATATCTTGGGTATAAAAGGCACAAAGCCAGGGATTTAGTATATCCAAGAAGTGCCTCCATTGCCTATAATGCACAATTTTTAGGCCTTCTTAGTATGTTTGTGAAAAGAACCAGAGTCAATAGAAGCCTATCTCAGTTATTAGTCTGATGGAAACGAGGACAGCAATGACAAAAATTATAGCATGTTCCATCAAGAGTTCATCTATATCTTTTCCAAAGATCAGAGTAAGAAACAGAACAAAACTTCTCCTCATGGAGATAAATCTGATGGGCAATCTAACAGGCTGGTGACAAATCTCTCTAAAAAAAAGCACCTGCTTGCGTTTTTAATGACTTGTCTTCATTTAGTTTCCTATGTCAGAATAGATCTTTTTCTTCACAGGCCATGTTCCTGCCCCTACTGGTATCTCTGATTAGAATTCTAATCTTTGAGGGATTCAGCAAAGCCCAGACACATAGAGAAATCCCACACTATGACTTTGCCGAATTTATGCAGAGAATGGCCGTTTTTCATGCCTGGTTTTTGAGGTACACTTACAGTTAACCAAATGAAGGAAAGAGTTTCGAGTGATAAATATAAAAGAGTATCTGTTAAAATAGCACAAATACTATGCATGTCCCCATGGGCTCACTGAGAAGGTACACAGTGCTGTGGACTTTGAGGATAACACAAAGAGCCTCTTCCTGTTCAACATGGCTGGTAAGGAGTTTATGAGGCGATAGCTAAAGAGAGAAATTTTCAAAGTACGTACTGGATTTTTTTTCTTTACCCGAATGTGTACATTGGGTAAGTGTTAGAAAATGTAAACAATCCTAGCTTCACCTTCCCAAAGAAAATGCCCCTAGCCATGCCATGGCTTTGAGGGTTAAAACTCATAGGAACAACGGAAATTTGAAGAAGTCAGAAAGTGAAGTGCTTCATGTAACTAATGGTGGATATTTAGAGACATATTCTCTAACAACAGGTTGACAGTATATTAGAGCCACAGAAGTTTTCACATGAGAAACCAGTCCAGATTCCTCTGCTGAATACATACAGTGTCAGATCTTCAAAACTTTTTGTCTTTGTTTGTACTCATGCCTCAGAAATGCTGAGGTTGCAAACAAGCAATAGAAATTATACAGTACTGGTAGCACATTGGCTATTTCTCTCACCCTGTCATTTTCTTCCATTTAAATTTCTATGCCCCACTGTTTCTCTGAAATACAAGTAAAACCAGAATTGTTGAGAGAAGGGAACAAAAAAAAATCAATGGGGAAGTTGTCTCCTTCTGAACAATTTCATTTCTAAGTAATCAAAAAACATCTTGTCCTAAGTTTTAATGAAAGCCTGAGAGAATTCCCACAGTTACTTGTTAGGTATTAACTTATATAAGGATATAAATATATATTGCATATACATGATCTAATAGGATATGATTTTTAATCTATACTTTTAGAAGAATTTAGTATGTCTGTTAAAATTATTTTTATTATAAAGGTAATGTACAAAAGGGTTACAGTTACATAAGTCAGGTAATGAGGACGTTTCTTTTTGGGCAATGTCACCCCTTCCCTCACTCAATCTAATATATCTCGGCACACACAGAATTTTCAGAGCTATTGGTAAAGGAAGAGTTAAAAATGGCACCCAGTAACTATGGCTAAAAGTTTATGTAATAACTTGTTTTATGATTTTGATAGCTAAATAATATTTGGTTTATGTTTGATAGATGTTCACAGAGAAAGTTTGGAATGAAGATGAGATCATCAGTACTACCAAAGTCACACTGGAAACACTATTTATTCCTAGGAGTAAGTCGATATAACACCCTATTTACGGTTAAGGTAAAGAAATTATTTCTCTTTGGATTGATATTTCTATGTTGCAACTGTGTAATTGGGAAGAGATATAATAAATGGGGGTTGTGGTGAAGGAAAGTGCCTAGGTAATGTGTTGGAATGAGTCCACAAAACGTTGTTGCTTGTGTCTTTGCCTTTACAGGCATAACTGCAGCTGAACAGTCATTAGGGACTGAGTGGTGGTTTATCTTCTCCAAGGTATTACTCACCTTCAGGTCCCGATGGACTACGCCCATCTGATGGCAGTGTAGCACAGCCTCCAGGATCTGCTGAATGCAATGACTGCATGCAAACACCAGGGGGCGTGTGTTAGTTCCAAGCTTACACTCACTGTCTGTATACCCTCAGAGAGACTGGGTTCAAGCGCAGAGCTAGCAGTCAACTGGACTTGTGTTTTAACTCCTTTAGTATTGTGAACATATTGCTCAAGGAGAGTGACTACTACCTCAGAACAATCAAGATCTTGCCAGATGTGGGCCAGATGGTGGATACACTTTTTATAGTTTTTGTTTTTTGTTTTTCCTAGAGAAATCCAATTTGACCATATTTGATTAAGCGCTCAGCTCCTGGTTATAAATTCTTCCAGGAAATGAAGAGAAAAAAAATCAAATACAATCTTTTGTATGCTTCATTGCTCCTCTTTCACCCCGTGAACCAAATATGGTTTTCCCACTGTCTTCCATTTTTTCCAGCATCATTCTGAAAGCTGTTAACTTTCCAGATCAGGCACCATTAAGGTTAAATTAGGATACGTAATGAATTTTTGATCAATCATTAACTTTTTTGTGCTTTAATTTAGCTGGCAATTATTATCTCTTGCCTAAGGGTTCATCAGACTCAAATGGAGCAATGCGTTACCAGTTGCTCTGCTGTGGCAACCCACGGTCTCAGAACAGAAGTGGTGTTTAGGTCTACAGGCCAACATACATCACAGGCCAACTTTAACTCCAGTTCAAATGCTGGATGCTACAGGAAGGCCTACCCCAAATTGCATCCGGTAGCATACTGCCTGGGAACTTAACAGGTTGCATTTTTAATATTTTGCTTTGATTTTTGTTTTTTGGGTTTTTTTTTTTGCTATGATGTATATTTAGCCTGTAGATGAGCAAACTGAAAGAGGTGATCATGCATTATCATTTCATCATTTATTCATTTCAAGAAAACGTTGGGAAAGGCAAGGGAACAATTTTAAATAACACCCCCCACCTCTGCCCTTTTCCCAGAAAAACAAAACCAAAAACAAAGCAACTCCTTTGATTCAGATTTATGGACTCCATATACTGACCTTCAGGTCCCTGTGAACTATGCCATTTAGGTGACAATGATTTACACTTTCTAGAATCTGCTGTATACAATGACTGTAAAGATACAAGGGCAGAATGGGAAGGGAGAACATTTTAAAGGTACATAATCACATCAAATGCAAATTACAATGAAAGTTCAAACAAAACAAACAAACAAAAATCATATTTCTTCACATTTTTCTTAGCTTTACACTGGGATCACATGATGCTGAATAAAGCTAATTCTGGTGCTAACAAAAAATGACGTCCAACAAATAATTTGTGACATAGTCAGATGAAACAATTTGAGCTGTGTGTTTTTTTTCTTCATTGTTAAAAAAGGTACAAATTAAATCAGTAGTATACTAAACTTGAAATCTCCATATTTAGGAAGAAAAAAATTGTAAAGAATCTCCCAAAAATGTTCTGGGAAATTTCTCCAGAAACATGAAATTTCCAGGAATTTTTTTAATACACATCTAAACTGTTTGAAATCTGAGGTCACAATTAAACACAGGTATTGAAACAAAAGGATAAAACACAGATGAAGTGGCAGGTGAAACAGGGTTAACAGAAAAAGGGAAACATGTACCACTTCGATTTAGACATGGTACTGCCTGTAAAAATAGATGGATAGGAAAACTAATGCAAGTCCCCAATAAGAGGGATAACTTAAAGTAAACTCAGGATACAAAATAGCACTCTCCCAAATACAAAAATACTCTGTGAGAGGGCTAGGGGTTTTAGAAATAAACATATAAATAAAAAATTGCAACCCACCCTCTGAGACTGGTAATTATCCATTTCCACAGACTAGTGATACAAATATTTTGCTTGTTTCCAAATCAACATGCACCATTGGTATTGTTCTCATGGAAAGGCCATCTATGTCAAATTGATGGCTAATTCAATTAGAAGAAATCTTTTCCCTGGCACTCAGAAGGTCCCAAGAGTTACCACCTGGCACACAATAATGTAGAGCAGATCATGCTGATGGATTCTGTACTAATTCACTGTGTAAGTCAAATACAACTGTGGGCAAAAGTACATGTTTGTGGATTCAAGAATGAGGTACACAATTTGGTAGGTATATTTTTGATGATCTCATTTGTCAAATAGCATTACTCTAAAGGAAAATATTGAATTAAAATACAATCAACATCAGACTTACTGAAATGTAAGTATCATAAAATTAATCACGATTTTGATTTTTTTAGCTCTTACAATTAATGATACCAACAAAGAAGCTCATTTTAGTGTGTGTTGACTACATGGTTTACTTAAGCATTGGTTATTATTTATAAAGAGTAAGTGATTAAATAAAAATCTATTGTAATATTCCTTTTGGTAATAGTCTTTTCACAGTTCTTAAACAATAGTAAAAATTATTAAGTAAGGAAGAAAACAATAATTTCTATTAAATGAACTTTACTCTTTACTAACTCGTAAATGTAGATTTAATTCTTCAACTTGAAGGTTAATAAAGAAACAGACATTTGAAAATGATTTGTGAGTTGGACACTGGTGTTTCACGACTTGTAATCCTAGTTACACAAGAGGCTGAGATCTGAGGATCACAGTTTAAAGCCAGCCCAGGCAGGAAAGTCCACAAGACACTTATCTCCAATTAACCAGCAAAAAGCCACAAGTGAAAGCATGTCTCTAGTAGTAGAGTGCCAGCCTATAGTGGAAAAAGCTCAGAAAGAGCATGAAGCCCTCACTTTTAGCCCCAATACTGACACATACACAGATACGAAAAAATTGTTGGAGGAATATATATATATATATACTCCTCATGCTTAGGTGAGATCATTTCTCTCTCTCTCTCTCTCTCTCTCTCTCTCTCTCTCTCTATATATATATATATATATATATATATATATGATTAACTCTCAAGCTATTAATGTACATACACTTAAAGGATCCAACTCACAAGTCTTTCCTATTATCTATGTATCATTCTTCAACAGTGAAAACAGTGTCCATCTAAATATCAACAATATTATTCAAATATAACAGTTTTCACATAATGTTGAAAGGCAAACTAGATGAAAATTCTTTAACTTGCCCAGCACCAGTGCCTCACACTTGTTTTCCTAGCTACTCAGGAGGCTGAGATCTGAGGATTGCAGTTGGAAGCCAGATCAGGAAGAACAGTCTGTGAGTCTCTCCAAGAAACTACTCAGAAAAAGCCAAAAGTGGTGCTATGGCTCAAGTGGTAGAGCACTAGCCTTGGGCAGAAAAAGGCTCAGGGACAATTGTGCCCAAGCCTTGAGTTCAGGCTCCAGGACCAGCACTGAATAAAAATTATAAAAATTCTTTAACTTGTTTACTACCATGATTAAAATGATCATTTCCCTTTCAGTATCTCCCCTTTCTAGGGCCTAAGGTGAGGAAAGCTCTGAGGTAAATGGAGCAAGCAATGATTCAGTCATCATCACATAAAGGACACCACACAGTCAACTTGACTTTAGCAGTAAAAATTCCATTAAGAATTAGAGTGAAATCATGTACAGATAGATTCACAGAGTACCATGAACAGTAGCATTACGCCCAAAATAAAATTAGAAGTTGAAAAGGGAGCTTGGGCATGCATGTGTACTTTGGAAGGATGAGGGAACCTCAAATATCAGTTTAATATCTACACATGGTTCCCTCCAAGATTGGGGATAATACAGAACAGGGCAGTATGACCAAAAACCAACTTCTCATAACATCTATGGACATTGCTAATGAGGTAACTGTTCTTGATTAGAGTTTTAAAAATCAGTGACAGCTACAGGATATACAAGGAATGCTGAGAAAAATCAATAGCACTTTGTTTAAGTAAGATTTTTAATGTTCACTAAGCAAATGAATCAATGTTATTTCATTCTAAATATGTTAGCCTAGGAAGATCCAACTTAGATAAAATAGCATTAAAAATTTTTTTGTGAAAGTTTTGGTAATCAACAAGATAGGGAATTACTCACGAAACCTCCAAAATATTCGATGCCAGTAGCTTATACCTATAATCCTAACTACTCAGGAGGCTGAATAGCCCTGGACAGGAAACGTCGTAAGACTCTTACCTCCAATTAACCAGCATAAAGCCAGAAGTGGAGCTGTAACTTGAGTGTTAGGGTGCCAATCTTGCGTGAAAAAGCTAAGGGATAGAGCCCAGGATCCAAGTTCAAGCCCCACTACTGGCACACACACACAAACAACCCCAACCACAAATAATACCTGAATTCTTTCAAGTGAGAGTTCTAAGGGTTTGAATGAAATTTCCAAAGCATTAAAGCAACCAAGAGCCATGATTTAAGAGGTACCAGGGCTCGGATGGATCTGTCATGCTTAGCAAAACACAATGACAGAAATGCTCTCTTCATTTGGTGACCCTCAGCTCCTATGACAATGGAGCCTTTGAGCTCCTACAAAAAACATTTAAAGCAGATCCTCATCATCCCCCTGCTTTGAAGACTCATCCTAGAGATTCTTAAAAGAAAGAAACTTGTTCTAACAAGGACTTACGGATGATATTTAGACATTCTTTTAAGTACTGACCATCATGGTTCATTTCTGTAAGTAAAAGTATGCAGCCCAGTGTCACTTGAATGATGAGTCTTATCTCTTGCCCAGAGCAAGTCACTTACCTGGCATCAGCTTCACTGTAATATTCTCTTGCCACGATGTCTTCAAACAGCTCACCTCCAGTAACTCTGTGAACACAAACAAGACCTTAAAATAAAATGCATTACTGTATAGGCAGATAGTGTTTATCAAGAAATTTCCCCTGTGTTACCAAAACAGTTTTTAAAGATATTGTTTCACGTAGTTCTCTTAATAGTCAAATCCATATTGGTCTACATTTTTCTGTCACTTATTTCTTTGTCTTTGCATCCATAGATCATTAAGGTCACACATTTTTCTACATGTCATAAATATACTCAGAAAGATCTTTTACAGTAAATTATTTCTATGGAAGTCTTTACTGCAGTTCTGGAGATTTTAGCTGACATATGGTGAATAAAGTTTCATAGGTTAGGAGCATTTTCTGAACAAAAAGATACAATCCACATCACAGGTGATGAATCTGAATAAGCCATATTGCCTTTGATAGCTGTTCAGTATTTAATGATCATATGAATGTTCTCCAAATAAATACACACAAAGAAATATTCTTCTAAAAAAGTAGGATCAAAAAATGTCTAGTAATAAGTAAATTGTATTCTTCATTTTATATTAAATGAAGAGAACTGTTTCACAGCCAAAACCCAACATAATGAATAGTGTTGCATGTGTGTTAATGGGCACTCACACATTTACATATTGCAGGACATATCTAGAGAGAAAATTCTCACAGATATCAAAAGATTACTAATATTATGAACATTTAAATTTTTTGTTGGAAAAACATTGACAATTGACTTCTAAAATGTTTCTACCCTAACATGTCAAAGTATCCACAGAACCCCAATCATTACCACTAAGAATAAGCTAACACACCTGACTGGGAAATAAGTTCTCATGTTGGTGCACATTTTTAAATTATTCTTAGTGAGGAGAACCATGTTAATATGCATTTAGGAGTTATTTCATCCTCTGCCATGAAGGTTTTGTGTGTGTGTGTGTGTGTGTGTGTGTGTGTGTGTGTGTGTGTGTGTGTGTCAGTCCTGGGGCTTGAACTCCAGGCCTTGGTACTGTCCCTGAGCTTTTTTTGCTCAAATCAGGTGCTGTACCACTTTCAGTCACAAAGTTACTTCTGGTTTTCTGGTGGAAAATGGGAGATAATAGTCTCAGGTTTGCCCAGGTTTTAGAACCATGATCCTCAGATCTCATCCTCCTGGATAGCTAGGATTACAGATCTGAGCCAACAAGGCCTGTCCCTCAACAAGTCTTTAACTGTGCATTTATGCATTATGTCTTCGTCTGCTACGGTCTTGTTTGACTTTAAAAGCAGATTTCAGTTTGAGGGTTTAACCTTGGAATAGAACATTCTATTACCTCATGAATCTTTGCCATTAACCTCTGAAGCTGTTTTACCACGCTCCCTGTCTATTGGTGAGAAAATTGAGGCTAATGAAGTCAGCTGCCCAAGACCACACAGCCTTAATATTTGCTCACACCGGTAGCCATCCATTCCACAGCCCATGCCCTCAGCCATTGGTGGGACAGCCTTTCCAGTAATTACACTGCCATTCTGTCTGGATGTTCAGAAGGAACCAGTCATTTGTAAAGGCCTCCGGTAAAGCCTTTCAGTATGATCATTACAGAGTATGACTCTAAGTTTTTCTTTCTATTTTCTTCTTCGTCTTTTTTTTTGTCTAGAAAGCCCTAACATTCTAAAGATTCACAAATAGTAATTAACTCTTCAAATCATTGAATCATTATGCTTTGTATCATAGCAGAACTCTAGCATCAATGCATTCTCCAATCTCTAATTAGTTAATTAATCTGAGAGTTTATTCATGGAACTGATTTAATTTGTGGCATTATACAAAATTTCACATAGCACGTTAAAAGTTTTAAACCTCTGTGGAAACTACTGCTTAATTTTGCGCTCCATTAAACACTAATCTGTATATAGAAATGTGTTTAAAATATGAAATTTAACACTTTCTCTTTAAGTCAATGAATTCTTTTAGAACTCACATATTTTCCTCAGACATTCATCACTGATGCTGCAGAAGTGATCAAATGGAATCATTCACATAATATTATATTTTATGAGTACTGGATCTTGAAGTCACGGCTCAGGTACTATCCCTTAGCTTTTTCACTCAAGTCTGGTGTACCACTTATGCTATAGCTCCACTTAGGGCTTTTTGTGGTTAATTGGAGATAAGAGTCTCACAGAAGCCAGGCACCAGTGGCTCATGCCTATAATCCTAGCTACTCAGGAGGCTGAAATCTGAGGATCACATTTCAAAGCTAGCTCAAGTAGGAAAGACTGTGAGATCCATCTCTGGAAGTGGCACTATGGCTCAAATGGTAGAGTGCTAGCCTTAAGCAAAAGAAGCTCAGGGACAGAGCCCAGGCTACAAGTTCAAGGCTCAGGACCAGGAAAAAAAGATGTACAAGATACTGTTAGGTTGGGCAGGGAGGGGAGTAGTTGTGGAGGTGGGAGGGAAGGGATGGTAGGGGAAAAACAAAGGAGGAGGCAACAATGCTGGGTAAGAAATGTACTCATGACCTTGCTCATGTAACTGTAACCCCTCTGTACAGTATTTTCACAATAAAAACTTATATAAACTTTGGCAAAGCCAAAATTCACCAAAATAAAGCAGCAGGAAGTAGGTGCTGGAAAGGTGAGGGGGTTGTCAAGGGGAAAGTGGTAGACAAAGGGAGAGGAGAAGATGGGGGATGAGGAAAATTCAGGCAAGCATCTCATGCATATCCTACAAAACTAAGAAAAGTGAGAGAAGGGGGTAGAGGAGGAAGGGCTCAAGGTAGGATGGGTAAGAATGTGGAAAGGGATGACATTGATCAACATACATTGTATTTATAAACTGCTGTGTTAGATGATAACTCCTTTGTACAACTACTTAAAGATAATTAAAAACAAGAGAAAGGAAAATGAGTCTCACAGACTTTTCTGCCTGGGCTGGCTTTGAACTGTATCCTCAGATTTCAGCCTTGTGAGTAGCTAGGATTATAGGAGTGAGCCACAGGTGGTAGCTGGCAAGAATATGTCTAAATAGTGGAAAGAATGAATGCTAGAAGATGTGGCCAGAGATAGTTAGCTACATAATCTAAAACTAAACATTAAAAAACCAGAGCTGGAAACACGGCTCCAATATTAGAGCAGCTACATGGCCCACAGAAAAGCCCTGAGTTCAAACTCAGCTACCCACCCCTTCCCGAAAGGAACATATTTATCTTTCATTTGTTCTTTTTTGGATACATGTCACTGCATAACTTACATTCCAATTTCTCTCCTCACCCCTCTATCAGTGTTCTTCTCATTCTAGCTACGATAGACTCTCCAGTCTATTGTTCTAGCCACAATAGACTAAGTACATCCAGCTTCATCCTGCCCCAGGGCTCTTTCACATGCTCATCTTTCTTCCAGGGCTTTCATGACCTGTCTACCTCTACCGTTTGTTCAGTAGATACCCATTAATCCTCACATCTTAGATTTTTATATCATCCCTCATCCATCAATATAACCTATCATTTTCCCTGTGCCATGAGTTATTCTTCATAACCCCTGAGTGCCATTACAATTATGTGTTTGCTTGAGAACTCATTTGTTGATGTTTGCCTTTCCACTAAGATGGTAGGTCTTCATGGGCAGAATTGGTTCCTTTTCTTTCACGTGATTAGTGCTGGAATCAGCATTGATGCTATAGCAGGGGCCTTTCTCTCTCTCTCTCTCTCTCCCTCTCTCCATCTATATCTTTACTTATCTTTATATAGAGTATATAATCTCAGATGGGTAGACGTGGAGGATGATCATATGTCCATACCATAATTTTATATTAATGATGTCTTTACATTTCTATAAGAAGGTAAAGTACTTTACCTTTTTGGTTGGGGGCAGTACTGGGTTTGAAATGAGGGCCTCATGCTGGCTAGTTCAAGCCCCAGTGACAAGACTAACAAACAAACAAAATCAGTGCTAGCTTGATTGCTATGGTTTATTTAATAAGGTTAATTGTGTATATAAGATATTTTCTAACAATACTGCATAATTGAAAAAGAGGATTATCTGTGGGTATCCAGAAATGATGTTTACAATGGATTGGAAATTGGAGGATAGAAATCAAAGAAGACAGAGAGTTGCTAAAATAGGAGAGTCAAAGAGTTTCTTATTGATCCTAAGATGAGTAGATTTACTGAGTCATGCTAAGAATCACAAGGATGATCAAGCTAAGAGACAGATTGCTGGACTTGTTTCAGTTGAAAGCTGACTTAGGCCAGGAGAGATACAGCAGGCGTAAGTGGGCTATTAGGTTGTTATAAGCAAGACAACATACAGTGTATTTATGAGCACAGTTGGGCTTGGCATCATTAAGAAGGAGGCGGGTCAGATGACAAGACCTATATCTTCTAGTTTACTTATTTTACTCCTCTTTTTTTCTGCCTGAACACTGAGTCTTAAATCTACCCCTTTAATACCATGATAGCTTTCATCTTTTTTTCTTCTCATTTACTTCCATATCTTCCCTCACTTCTACAACTTTAGTTTATAATTCCCTTCTAATTTCACCTATCTTTCAGAAACACTCTCCACTAGTCATATTCTTAAAATTGGTGTTCTCCTTCCACATCCACATGACAGTAAGAATGAAAACAGGACTACAAAAGATAATTGACAGTCGATGGACTAAAACAGGAGCAGAAATGGAATGTGTTCTTTTTGTTTTATGTATAAGATAGAGTTTCTTTTTTTTTATTTTTTATTGTAAAGCTACTATACAGAGGGTTACAGTTACATGAGTGAGGTTATGAGTACACTTCCTCTTGAACATTGTTACCCCCTCCATTGTTTTCCCCCTACCATCCCCTCCCTCCCTCCCTTCCCCGAGGTTCTTTTTTTTTTTTTTTTGATTGTGATTAAATGATTACATAATTTCAAAGTCACAAGTTCATTCTAACTTCCCTGGAGCAAATTGTCTACCACAGTCTGTAATATATAACAGTGTTCACATAGATAGAGTTTCTTATGTGACAAATTAGCCACTGAAACATACATGCCAACCTCTCTTTGTATATC